AGGGTACAGGGAGAGGATTTTTTGAAGAGCCCAAGTGGTGTAAAATTAAATTAAAGGGAGGGGACTTACTTATCGTCGGGTGTATCTACAGATCCCCAAACTGTGGCCCACTAAATCAAAGGAACTTAAGAACCTTAATAAACAATGCGGCGATGCTCAACCCCAGCCACCACCTTATCATGGGGGACTTTAACTATGGCGACATCAACTGGAGAAACGAGTCCACCCAGAATGACTTGAATAACCCTGCTACTCTTTTCGTAGAAACTCTGAGAGATAATTTTCTGTTCCAACATGTTAGAGGCCCGACACATTACAGAGGGGAGCAAACACCCAAGCTACTTGACCTCATCATAACAAACGAGGAGGGCATGGTGGCCAAACTGGAACAGCTTGCCCCAGTTGGCACCAGTCACTATACAGTGTTGTCATTCAGATTTAACTGTTACCTAGTTCAAGATAAGGCCAGACCAAGGTGCAAATATTATAAGGGAAATTACAATGGGATGAGGGGTATCAACTGGCCTGACTTATTAAGGTACAAGAACGCAGACACTACGCTGAATATCATAACTAGTAAAATGACCCATTTGATTGATAAATATATACCCAAGACCAAACCCAGTGCTTCTAGGAATACGAGGGGATCACTACACATGAACCATGCGGCGGTCGGCAAAATTAAGAAGAAAACCCAGAAATTCAAGACGTGGGTTGGGTCAAACGATGAGCAAGACAGGAGGATGTATGCAAGAGCCAGAAACCAAGCAAAGATAGAGTGTAGGAGGGCTGAAAAAGAGTTCCAGAGGCTGGTTGCAAGCGAGGTCAAGTCAAACCCAAAGGCGTTTTACCGCTATGCAAAGTCGAAATTGAAAATGCGAGTAGGAGTATCAGACCTGAGGCTGGTGGATGGTAGTTATGCAGATTCTGACCAGGATAAAGCTGAGGCATTGAACAGCTTCTTTTCCTCAGTGTTCACAAGAGAGGATGCAACTAACCTTCCTGCGTTTGAGGACAGACAGTTCGACACAGCACTGACCCATATTGTGTTCACAGAAGAGGGTATTAGAAATAAACTGTCCAGGCTAAAGGTTCATAAGAGTCCCGGCCCTGACATGGTGCATCCTAGAGTGCTAAGAGAGTTGTGCAACGAGCTTGCAGAGCCCCTGAAGATCCTATTTTGTAAAAGCCTGGATGAACAAATGGTCCCCAGTGAATGGAAAGTGGCTTATGTGAGTCCTATCTTCAAGAAGGGCGATTGTCACTCCACGAACAACTATAGACCGGTGAGCCTGACCAGCATAATATGTAAAGTACTTGAGAGTATTATCGGAGATGCCGCAATGGAACATCTAATACGAAACAACCTTATAAAAGATTGCCAACACGGTTTTATGCCGGGGCGCTCTTGCTTAACACAATTGCTCAAGGTATTGGATATTTGGACCCATATTCTGGAACGGGGTGGTAATATCGACAATATTTACCTAGATTTTGCCAAGGCTTTCGACTGTACCCCACGAAAGGCTGAAAATCAAACTGGAAGGGTACGGAATTCGGGGAAATGTCCTAGCGTGGATAGAAGACTTTCTACATGACCGCAAGCAGTGTGTGGTGATTAATGGCACGAAAACGTCATCTGTACCTGTAACAAGTGGGGTACCACAGGGCAGTGTATTGGGCCCGCTGTTGTTTGTTTCATAAATGACATGCCTGACGTTGTACACTCCTCCATACAAATGTTTGCCGATGACGCCAAGTTATTTCGGGAAATTAAGAACCAAGCGGACTGTGAAGAGCTGCAGAAGGACCTCTGTGGGCTCCAGGAATGGTCGAAGAAATGGCTGCTGAGATTCAGTGTCACGAAATGTAAGAGGATGCACCTGGGGCGTACCAACGGTAAGGAGGCGTATCATATGTCCCAACGGGATGAAGAAACTGCACTAGTTGAGACTGTGTGTGAGAAGGACCTAGGTGTGTATGTTGACAATGAGCTGAAGTTCTCGGGCCATTGTGAGAAGAAGGTAAATCTGGCAAATAAATTATTGGGTCTTATAAGAAAGTCGTTCAGATACCTAGATGGTCCGTCCCTCGTAACGATCTTCAGGAGCGAAGTGCTTCCCCATCTGGAGTACTGTCACCCCATCTGGTCCCCAAGATATGCTAGGGACTGTCAGTTGGTTGAAAATGTTCAAAGGAGGGCCACCAGGCTGGTGCCTGCACTTCGGTACCTCAGCTACCCTGAGAGATTGGACCGCCTGAACTTGCCTAGCTTATACTACAGACGGGCAAGGGGGGACCTAGTTGAGGTGTATAAGCATCTCGGGGGGCACTACTCAGTTGAGTGTCCTTACTTGGAGCTGGCGGATGCTCGCCCCACAAGGGGTCACAGCTCAAGATTGAAGAAGCCGCAAGTCCAGAAAACCGTGAGGGCAAACTTTTTCGGAGTGAGGGTTGTAAACTCTTGGAACAATCTACCAGAGAGTGTTGTGACAGCACCGAGTGGGAGCTCTTTCAAGACAAGACTTGACCAACACTGGAGCAGGTTCAGATACATTCAGGAGCCGGTGCATGCCCAGTATTTGCCAACAGTGCGTGATAGAGACGTGGCCGATCGCCCGGGCGGCTAGCGAGCCGATCTTTTGGTGAAGAAGATAAATGAAAAGAGATGTGACCGATTTCCCAAGCGGCTAACAAGCCGATCAGTGGTGAAGAGGATAAAAGTAAAAGTAAAAGAACTGCATGGAGGATGGAAAAGCAGTGTCTGTGCATAGTGGCCATCTTGGATTTGGCAAGTGAAGGAAGAGATGTGCTACCCCCATTGTTTACATTCTGCGTCAGACCCCCCTGATAACTATAGTTATGGAATTTGCCTAATGTAAATTGTGAGAGCGTGTAAAACTTAACTAACATTAGTGCGGATTATTGTAAATCGGTGGATACTTGTACAGTAATATATTATCTAATACTGTACTTGTACTTAAAGATAAACTTAGAGATTGGAAATAAAGTGAATAGTATAAAATGCTAACTCATTCAAGACCAGAGTTGACCAACACTCTTGTAAATAAAGATACATCCTGGAGCCAGTACGTGTCACTAGTGCATAACATAAATATGAACGACCACCCAAGTGGCTAACAAGCCAGTCATTGGTGAAAAGGATAAAGTAAAGTAAGCCAGTATCTGTTCTAATTATATTACCCTAGTAATAGTTTTTCATTTCACCACTTAGCTTGCTAGCCATGCTTGTTACTTCGTTTTGAACTTTATTGTTCAGTGTTAGTCCAGGAGGAAACTGGAGTACCTGGAGGAAACTTGTGATGTTTGGTGGGTCACATTGGATAACACCTTTCTCACAGTATTTCAGGTCAAGACTGTAACCCATAAGTGAGACATGCATGTTATCACCACTACCCACACAAATAAAAACGATACTGTACACACATGTACTGTATACACTATATATAATAGTAATAATACTAATCCCACATTCTATTCTTAATGATCTATTGCATCATCTTAAATTCCCAATGTGTTTACATGGTGTGAACACTGCAGCCACAGATACCTTGAGCTGTGATGTCAATGGTTCTAACTTCAGGCCAGGTGTGTTCTATTCTTGTTTAATAATGACTTTATTTTGCATTTATGAAGCCCTGAAACAAAAGTCATAAAACTGATTTTAACAGTGCTAAACAGAACCACAAAGTACCAAGTGTAAATAAAATGTAAAGTAAATTTTTTGCAAAATCTAGATCAAAGACCGTCTATAAGGAACTCAAAATTCTACAGCACTGTGATTTCACCATGGGCTGGCTTCAAATATTTTTTTAAAAATGTGCAAAGACACCAACTTGCAAAACATTTCAGAGTTCGGTCAGCTGACATTCCACTCACTCTTTTTCAGGCATTGGCATCAATATCCAAACCTTAAACAAAAAACAAAATCCAAATTCAACATTTACTTTTATTGTACATAATTAGCATAAGAAATTGAAAAATGCAGAAGTTTTGTTTGTTTAATCATCCATTTACTGTACTTTATGAAAGTATATGAGAAAAAATTAGACATCAGGCTACTGGCTCAGTGATTGTGTGGTGGTGTGAGTGACGAGTCTATTTGTAGACGTGATAACATTGCAAGTGTTGGGGAATAATAAAATAAGTAAGGATACAGGTTGTGTAAATAACTACAGGGTACATTATATAAAAAAAACTTCACTATCAGTAGTAGAATTTTTTAATTAAATTTGGGATATTCACTTGTAAACCAAAGCCTGGGACATATTATTTTTATTTTTTTCAAAACTGCAAATTTTTGTGAATCAAATCCTTGTAAACTAGGGTCTGCCTTTATTCAAGAGCATAATACAGTGGAATATGGTAATGTTGTAGAGGCTTATGTTATTTGCTGTTTAATCAGTCATACTTGGGAAAAATCCTCTATAATACAAGTAAGTTGTAAAGAAACATGTAGGGTTGGTGTTTCAACTCATGAGCTTATATGACTGATGTATTGGCAACACTTTATTGAACACCAGCAGGTGAACCACCAACCATTTTATTAACAAAGTTTTGTATGCACATCCCTATTTCAGGTTTGCTATGAATGGTTACGTTTATGATGTATTTTGGTTTTGATTTTCTACATGAATTGATGTTATCAGCTTTCCCAATGACCAAAGTACTGTAATAGATTATTTTCTTGTGTTGGAGTTTGAATATATGGTTGTTGTGTTTACTTGACTCATGTATATTAACAGAAGTGTTGAAAATTACAATTACAAGCATCATTTTTCTGTTCTAAAAGTTGCTTCCAAGAGAATGGGCATGTAATAAAACAAAATTAAAAGAGGCATGAGCATGGTGCATATTGATTTGTGGTTGTTTCAGAAAAGTATTTTTGTTTTGCATGCCTGACCAAGTTGGTGCATTTTATTGAGCTTGAATAAATCAGGGATATATCTGTTACTGAATTGTGCATTTTGCCTCCATAGAAGCACTGGATGTCAGCATGCGGGAAAACGGAGATTTGATGTCTCGTTCAGCTGGCCATTTCCCAAGTGGGGGACATATTGGAGGAAGTCAGTATGGTGTGAGTCATTATGGTACCCCTCAAGGTACTCCCACATTGGGCACACCTGTGGGCACTCCTCCAGGGCTCAAAGTGGCATCTATCAAAGTTCGACCTTCTTCAAAACGCATGACGGCTGCAGAGGTGGAGGATCTGTTACATGCCTCTGGCTCTCTCCCTTCCTCACCCCCAACTACCCCTACCGGTCGACCCCCACAGGTGTATGCCAGCGTGGCAGAGATGAAGAAAGCAAAGGTTTGTGCTAAAAATTGCTCTCTGCACCAAAAATATGAATATTTTAATAATGTATTACCTTATATAGCTTTCTTTCCCTTCAGTTAGCTTTACTCTTGCTTTTATTTTTCCTGCACTAAAATCCTCCTTTTAAAAAGCACGATTACATAAGAAGACAAGTGAGGAATGTGAAGAAAGCTTTCTAGAAAATTATGATTTTGAAAAACTGTTTTAATAGTTAAGTAATGGTATTTTACCTTTTCTTAAAAATACTTTATAGTATTGTACAGCACAAGATTGTCTTAAATCTTGAAAAACATTAAAGACCCAAAATATGCTTATAGTTTATTTAATATTTTATGAATTGTATTGTACGATATACCTTTTTAAATGATGGCATAATTATTTACAATGGTCATATGATTTACCTTGATCTAAAGTCAGATTGCCTCTGAATGCACTGTATATTTAAATAAGGACATCTAGCTTTGTGATCTGATACCATATTGCTGATGTTTGTGTCAATATTTCCTTGTATCCACAAGGAGTGTCAGAGCTTTAAGCACAGGAGCGAAGAAAACCTGGTGCTGTGATGATTTGGCTGGTAGATAGAATCCATTTTTGTCAACATAAAAAAAGCTGTGTTAAATTTTCTGTTTTCATGCTTAGCATGAGTGTAAACTTTCAATCCATTTTTAAAAGAGAAACCCATCATACACATATTTGCATTAGGCATATCCATGGGCACCAAGAGGAATTATTTAAGGGAGGTAGGTGAACATGTTTTACCTGCTCTCCTTCCAGGAATCCTAAATGAATTCGGAAGTCATCACATGGTCACACTGTAAAAGCTTTAAAAGGATTGATTTTATACAGAATTTAGGCTTTCCTGCATCTTCCTCATCCAAATTATGTATTTTTACTTGAATCATAAACCAATTGAAAAACAGTGCTACATATTAGATTTTAAGATAAACTGATCATTCAGCCAAAAATAAAAAATATAGTATCTGTTCAGTTGTGTCCAGTAACTAATGATGTGACAAATCACAGTGGGGAATTATAAAACAAATATTTACATTGTTTTCAATGTCTCAATTTTACTACCCACATACTGTCAACAATTAACACACTTTCTAAGAATCCTCTCTCCAGTCTGTTATCCATACTTTCAAATTTTAGTGCATGACATTGCAAAATTATTTACTTAGATTTCCATAATAGTTCATCATAAAGGCAAGTAAAGTTGATAAAATGCATGAGTGTTTTGCAAATTTTCAAAGCATAACATGGAGACATATTTCACTAAATGAATAATACTTAAATCTTAAAGAACAATTCTCCTTCCTGAGCTTGTGAACTAAGGAGCGATTGGGAAGAGGAAATAAAAAATCCTTGTGAAGAAATAAATGACTCCTTGGCAAAACTTGTAACTAATGAGAATACTAACCTTGCGTAGATATTTCAGTAATGTAATTTTATATTTTTAGGCCCTGAGGGCTCGGCAGGCAACAGACCTCAGCAGACTACACAAGGATTTCCACTCCACTCCAGATTTGAAGGCAGGGGTCATGGCATCCCAGCTGGCTCTTACCATCGAGGAGAAGCGCAAATCTATTTCACAGGAAGACCTTTTTGTCACAGCATTAAACGAACGCAATTCACGACACTCCCTTGCGTGTCCGCCACACCGCTCGAGCACATTAGGGAGGACCACGGTGGGGTCTCTAGAGTCTAAAGAGTCCTGGCAGAGTGGCGAAGAAGGGACGGAGGAAGAAAGCAGCGATTCTCCAAACTGTTCTCCTGGCCCCATTGAATATCGAATGTTAAGACGATCACAATCGGCTGTTAATACAACAATGCTTCGCAAAGCTGGACTTCACCCTCCTCCAACTCATCCTCCTCCTCCACCACCACTTGGACAACTTGTCAAAGTTGATATTAGTAGGTCCAAAAGTGACTATGCTACTGTTGGCAGAGCACCATCAACCCCAGAATCTACACCTGTATCCCCAGTTGTACAATCTAGTTTTCGACCAACAGACTCTGCCAAACTGTATGCATCACCTGAAGAAATTAAGGCTGTTGGTTATCGCAGTCCAGACATGATGGCTGCTCTTAATCGTAAAACCAACAGTGTAAAGACACGTTCCCAAAGTTTGCCACCAAGTACCAACAGACCCAGTCTTCAGAGGGGGTCCCCTGAAAAGGATTCTTCCCTTGATTCTGGAATTTATTCAACTACATATTCAACCTTTCGAGGGACAGAAAATGAAAGCACAAGAATTCAAGAAGCTCCACCATCCATCAGTTCCCAAAAGACTCCAGTTAGTGATGCAGTTACGTATGCAAGGCCAAAGAATAATAAAAGCATACATGAACAAAAAGATACAAGTTCTCCAAACAAAGCATACACTGGCCCAGGATCTGTTGCATCTCCAGTTCCTGATATTCCTGAACCTGACTATAGTTCAGATGAAGATCACACTTATAATTCTCAGGATGATTCACAAAGTAAGAAGACAAGAACATTAAAGAAGAAAAAGCAGTCAGTTGCCTTTTCACCAAACTTGGTAACCACAGCAGAACCATCAGATATACCCCCCTATGAAATGTGTGACATACCTCATTATGCAGCTCCAGCCAAGAATCCAACTCCACTAAGTAGTAATTTTAAGGAAATGATTGCTCAGAAAGCAGCAGAGAGGCAGGCAAGGCAAGATGATGGACCTGATGGGACAAGGTCTGCAACTTCTAGCCCTAATAAAAAATTTAATGGAGGAAATGGAAATGGAAAAGCCGTTTCTGATGTAATTCAGGAGTCTGCATTATTCAATAAACAAAAGGATAAGACTGTGCCAACTGGAACTAAAGCAAGATCTGTTCCTGTTATGCCGAGAGAAGATTCTAAATCAAAGATGAAGAACTCTCATTCCTGTCCCAGTGAGTTTCTTGAGGATGGTGACAATTCATCTAGTGGAGTAAGTTCTGACCAAGATGTTCATCCAGAGTCCAACTATGTAACTGTCATAAACACAGAGTCAGACACCATCTCTGCAAATAATTCAGAGAGATTTGGCAGTCATGGTTCAAGAGATGACAGTTCTGAGGCTTCTGAAAGTTCTGATGAAGCGAGTGACCGTACATGGATTTTAACAAATGAAAAGGGGGATAGAAGTGACTCTGGTAAGGATAGTGATAGCAATGGATCTCGAAGAACGGGAACACTTACAAGAAATGCAGTGTCACTGGTGAAGTTACCTCCCCCACAAGAGACAACTGAACCTGATATAGATACAGAATTGGATGTGGGACGGGGGCGCATTATGTCCCGATCTGTTGATCAGGACACCATTAGCACATTGTCTTCCCTCAGTAGTTTGTCTTCAGGTTCAGGTAGTACAGGGGAGAGAGACAGACAGCATCTCCCACATAATGTTCCTGTAACCATATCTACTCAGATGAGGGCTACTCTTCCAAGGCTCTCATCAAGTACCACAATTTCTAGGGCCAGCTCCACTCCTCCAGTCAGTCAAGCCATTAAAGCTACTGTTGGAGGATCTCTGAACCGGAGTAGGTCTGCCTCCAGAGACCAACATTGGGGTTCTGATGGTGAATCACATCCCTTTAGAGAGAAGAGTGCACCTCCTACGTCTCGTTCAAGTACTTTAGATAGGGATACCCGCAAGAAGAGTACGAATGTTGACACAGGAGAAGCAGAATATGAACGAAGTATTGAAGAGTCCCTCCAGTTAATTCGCATGCATATGGATTCCTTAAATGAAGTAAACTCATTGGCAGGGGTTGCTTTGCCAGAACAAGCAGGAGGGGGTGGAGGTGAGATGGTTCTGGCACCCCCTCCAGAATTCTGTGACATGTCTTTAGGTGAACCCCAAAACAGGAAAAACAAGACTGTTATTCATATTTGTAGTGATGACTATGACATGCCAGGAAATGTCATGGGAGTTAGGCAACGAGAGGAAGATGAAATGCCAGGATTCAGACGTAAAACTCTCACTGAATGGACCACACGTGATACAACAGAGTGGCTTGAGAGCATCTTTATGCCTGAGTACAAAGATTCATTTGAGGAGCAAGATATTGATGGTAGAAAACTGATGGGTATAAACAATGATACACTTATTAATTTGGGAGTGAGAAGAGTTGGACATAGAGTCAACATGGAAAAGTCTTTAAAAAGATATAAACCTACTGAAAGAATTGATCTTTGAGTTCAGCAAATTACCTTTGGTTTACTTATGAAAATGTATTCAGCATGTTAACAAACAATATGAGATTATTTGGTCTCTTTGTATTATAATCTTTGTGTCATCCAATTACTAGGATCAGTAAATTTTTCATAAACTCAGAAAAGATGATGTGAATGGTAGGTGGTTATACATCGATGAAACCCTCAGGTTTACCAAAAATATTTTTTTCCTGGAGATGACTTTTTGTCCATTTTTTATTCAAGTTTTCATGATCATTTTTCATGAGCCCTTCATTCTTCATTCAGAATAGTTTTGAGTGTTCAGAAGACAATGTAGTTGTAACCTTTTCACTTAAACGTCCAACTTGTAAACATTATTGCAGGAGTAGACAATAACCAAATAGGAACCTTATTCCTTGTTTAAAGACAGTGATTTTGAATTTTCTCAAAATCAGTTATACAGCATATTTATAATCATTGATAGTTTTAAGCCATAAGCTTTTCCTCTTCATGGCTTTTAACTATTTTATGAAATCAAGAATGTATAAATCTTAAGGGATTGATGAAGTGGGGTTATATCAGTCAGACACATTAGCTTTCACTACTGGAATAAAAATTAGTTTTTATTAAACTAATGTTTGCTGAGTGTAAAGAAATATGAGAAGCACTAGACCTGGATTTTTCAAATTACTTTCACTGAAAATATCCTCCATGACATTTAAGATGGTTATCAGTCTGCTTCTCCCTGACCCCCTTTCCAGCTGATCAGGTCAGAGCAGGCTGCTGGTTGGGTGTTTTAATGATATAGGTCTTTGCCATTCACTCATTTGGTCATAAAATATTCCTGCATGCTAGGTAGTCATCAATACTCCTTGTGTGTCGCCATTGCTGACTTTTTATACCTGTATTATATATATATATATATATATATATATATATATATATATATATATATATATATATATATATATATATATATATATATATATATATATATATATATATATATATATATATATATATATATAGCATAACTATTATGTACCAGGCTGTTTAATAACTTCTGCTGGAGATTAAATAAAAAAAGGAAATCTTAAGTATTTCTGGATTGTAAACTGAACATATGAATGTGTTTGTACAAAGAAGCTGTTGATAGTGTAAATATTGCAGTTGTATCATGGAACTTCATTTGACACAATACAGTAATGCATAAATGTGTATATATGGTTCTCTTTTGCTAGTAAATATTGTCCAATCTGTTTCTGCCAACCCATTTTGTGTGCCAAATGCTTCAATGCTGGAAGTTAAAAAGTGGATGCCAGAAAGTTGGTGTTTTAAGAGGAAACTGACTTATTTTGAAGTTTCTTTTTTGTCACCACTTGTATGAAAGTGATCATAACAGACCAGAACAGTAAATCTGTAATCACAGTGAAATTAATATAATGGGGGAGATAACTGACCCAAAAACTGGGCTATATACAGTAGTACTCTTCCCAGTCTCCATGTGATTGTCCATAAAATGGTTTTGCATAGTCACATGAAAAGAGCAAGTTTGACAGTGAGGCCTCAATAGACATAACATTATAGGAATGGGGGCCAATATCTCTGTTGTTTTAAAAGTTACAAGTAATTACTGTACAGTATTTGAATCTTGTCAGCTTTCAGTGACGGGCAGTTTCTGCATGAATTACATCTAATAGAAAGTTCATCTATGTTTAGAAATGGAGTATCAGATAATTACTTTTCACCATGGAATTCAGATTTTGTGCAGTGATAAGCATTTTGGAGGGCCAGTCTCTCTGACTTTCTACATTGTCCTCCAATTGGCAGTTATTCTCAATGAGCGCTGTGATTGGCAACTGAGCTGTGCTCAAAGTGAGTTTGGCATTTAGAGCTAATAGCATACTTCAGTAAGGCTTCTTACTCTGTGTTCTTTTTTAAAAAATTAGGCATCATTGGTGCTTTTTGTGAGTGTGTGTCATAGCTGTCTTATTCTTTGCTCTGATTTTGATATTGATGGTGCTGATCAATCTAATAAATTTAAATTCATGTTTTATTTTCAGACATTATTACTTTTTGCTACTGAAAACCACAGAGGAAATTAGGCTTATTGAATTACTGCATAGTGCTCAGCAGGGGCTAATCTGATCACTTGTTTTGATAGATCCATTAATGCTGTCCTAACACTACCGTCTAGTCTTGTCCGTTGTAGGAGCTAACACTTTCTATGCGGATTTTTCCTAAATACAAAATTGTTTACAAATTTTAATTATTTATCCAGAGATATGTATGTGCATCTGTGCTCAATAAAGTTTAATACTTTTAATGTTATAATTTTTTCTCATGGTTTTTACTTCCATTAAAATACAATTCTATTCGTGCAAGCAGAGTTAACCAAGGAAAATGGCAAAAGTCTTGAGAATAATTAATTGACAGGTTTTCGACCTCAGATCTTTAATCAGTGTGTTGAAGAGCACCTCTAATAGATTTTAGTCCAGATAAAAAATTTAAAAATCTTAGTCACAATAGCAAGGGGTACCCCTTAGTGAATATTTTTGGGACAAAAACACGTTCTCTTCGAATTGGAAATTAACATTTGTCAATCTTCAGATCTATTTATAAAACCTCTGTGGCCGCGTGTGTTTAATGTGTGTGTGCCATGTGCCACACCGAGAAGAGGTGGGAAGAAAGGGTTCATCATGAAACACCAGTACCACTGGTGGCCCGCTCACTTTTACACCTCCATGTGTAGAGCAGGTGGTTGAGTGCCCTACCAATGGGTACAGGCACATTTGTCAAGCTTTAGATCTATTTGTCAAACCCCCTGTGGCTGCATGTGTTTGCCACACTGAGATGGGGTAAACAGGTTTCTCATGAAACACCATTACCACTGGTGGCCTGCTCACTTTTACACCTCTGCATTAACACATTTAACTATTTCAGTACAGTATATCCAATAAAAAACCCATGTATGGGTACTGTATGAAGGAGGCAAGTACAGTAATTTAGAATTGCAAAAAAGAATGAAAATACTATTGTATTCCAAGAGCCATTAGGACGAGTACAATAATTAAGGTACCAAAATTTCAATTTGATGTTTTAATTGCCTGTATGTTGGCCTGGCAAGTTAATTCTAGGCATTTACATACCTAGGTATAAACCTAGATGTCGCATTCTGGACTATCTCAAAAACTGTTTTTTAGAAAAAAAACGGCTTTTTTATTTTATTATTTTTTTTTCAGGGGTTAGCCCACTTAGGCACAGATCAACGACCCACATCTGGGTCTAGGGGCGAAAAAAAAAATAATAGAGAAATTAAAAATAGAAAAGGAAAAGGTTATATTAATCTACACTGCAACAATGCAGGAAAACCAGCTTTTTAAAGTGAGACATTGTATGAGTATGGAAACAGAAGAAGGCAGAGGATTCCACAGTTTGGCTGTGTAAGGAAAGAAGGATGTACTATAACAAGGTTATTCTAGCGTGACCAACATCCACAGAGAAATGGTGGGCACTGTGGGCAAGACGTGTGTTACGAGCCCACGGCCTTGCCGGCGGTACACAGGATGCCAAATCCACCGAACATTTAATCGGCATGGTGAGTACAGTACCTATAGAGTTATCCCTTACTATACAGATGTTTACTATGTGAAAATTCCCTTATCCGAAAAAGTTATTCTTACGCCTCTTTCTCACTATCCGAAAGTGGTATTTGCTTATACGAAACATAAGAGTATTACTGGACTCAAAATTTTCAAAAATTGCCCACAATGGCAAGGGGCTCACCTTAGTGATTTTAATGGGGTGATAAAGTAAAGAAACATCTTTTCATTCAAAAATTGAAAATTTATGTGTCATGAAGACCACTTCCAGAGAAGCATAAAAAACTACAGAGACGAGTAATGAGAGGTGCAAAACAAATAAAAAATTTCCAAGAGAAGTTAGAACAGACAATTACCCAAATTACAACTTTTAAACTCTAGACTCTTAATCAGCATGTTGAGTTCTTATACAGTATTGAGATTTTAAACAAAAGTTACGTTTTAGCCAGGTATGTGTATTGACGAATACGTATTGGAAAAAATAGTACAGTACAGCTTTAACGAGATGAGAACCAGAAGGAAGCACTCTTAGGAAGGGTTTTGGTGAGTACAATGTTCAAGAACACATACTGTGCTGTAGTGAGATATATTATGGAAAAGTGTGAATAATCTCAGTTTATGAGACCAAATCATTGGTTGTGGCCAGGAAGAGTAAAAATTAACAACTAAAATCAAGATCTGCAGGGCTATGAGCTAAGTACATCTGTTTCAAGGACAGTAAAGCACATCAGTTAAAATACCAAATCAATAACAACCGATGATAAAATCCTAGAATCAAGGTGGATACATAAAAAATTCTATTTGCATTTACTTTTATCCTTTTCGCCACTGATCGGATTGTTAGCCGCTTGGGCGGTCGGTCATGTCTGTTACCAAGTACTGGGCATGCACTGGGTCTTGAAGTAGAGCTGAACTTCATTCAGTAGACTTTGCTTAGATTCAGTAGCTATGTCTGAAATATTACAGAAGTATTGTAGCGTACTGTTGTGGCAGGTTGTCAAATTATCTTTATATGGTCTCACAACGTACGTACATGTAATATATCTAACACTCAGGATTGAGGTAGAATAGAAACTCACAATGCGTTTTCTGTATATATATATTGTTGTTCAGTGCAGTGTTAAGGAGTTACTAGGTCAGGAGAAGCTTGCTCAGAGTTCCTGTTGGGCGAGGAGCTTTCTGAGGGAGCGTGTGGTGAGGAGCTGTTGAGAGATGTTGCTGGTCCGGTAGCCGAGTATAGAGTGACCTCCCCGGCCAGCCGGGCCCGTATTTATGTGATTTAGAAACCTCAGGATTTGAGGCGCTCGTAGCGTGAGAGCCAATCATGGGAAAGGAAGCGTAAGGTGTGAAACTCTGATCCTGAGCTGGAAGTTGAAGGTCGAGACTAGGTCGGCGATCGTACCCCTAAGTCCACTGCATAGACCTAGTCTCTCGGCGTAGCTGGCTGTATGCCGATTGGCTGGTAGGCGCGTGGCCGGAGCTCAGTTGGGAGTTGTAGGGGAGAGGATCCACTACAGTATCAATGCTCAGTGCTGCTACATTATATAATTTATCCTTCATAAAATGAAAGGAACTAACCTAACATAACATAACATACTGGTCGTCATATTCTATTTTATAAAGGTAGACAAGATATGATATGCCTGACATTGTACACTCCTCCATACAAATGTTTGCCGATGACGCCAAGTTATTTCGGGAAATCAAGAACCAAGCGGACTGTGAAGAGCTGCAGAAGGACCTCTGTGGCCTCCAAGAATGGTCGAAGAAATGGCTGCTGAGATTCAACGTCACGAAGTGTAAGAGGATGCACCTGGGGCGTACCAACGGTAAGGAGGCGCATCATATGTCCCAACGGGATGAAGAAACTGCACTATTTGAGACAATGTGAGAAGGACCAAGGTATGACTGCTGACAATGAGCTGAAGTTCTCGGGCCATTGCGAGAAGGAGGTAAATCAGGCAAATAAATTATTAGGTCTTATAAGAAGGTCGTTCAGATATCTAGACGGTCCGTCCCTCGTAACGATCTTCAAGAGTGAAGTGCTTCCCCATCTGGAGTACTGTCAGCCCGTCTGGTCCCCGAGATATGCTAGGGACTGTCAGTTGGTTGAAAATGTTCAAAGGATGGTCACCAGACTGGTGCCTGCACTTCGGCACCTCAGCTACCCTAAGAGATTGGAGCGCCTGAACTTGCCTAGCTTATACTACAGACAGGCAAGGAGTGACCTAATTGAGGTGTACAAGCATCTCAAGGGGCACTACTCAGTTGAGTGTCCTTACTTGGAGCTGGCGGACGCTCGCCCCACAAGGGGTCACAGTTCAAAATTGAAGCCGCAAGTCCAGAAAACCGTGAGGGCAAACTTTTTCGGAGTGAGAGGTGTGAACTCTTGGAACAATCTACCAGAAAGTGTTGTGACGGCACCGAGTGTGAGCTCTTTCAAGACCAGACTTGACCAACACTAGAGCAGGTTCAGGTACATCCAGGATCCGGTGCATGCCCAGTACTTTCCAACAGTGCGTAACAGAGACGTGACCAATCGCCCAAGCGGCTAACGAGCCGATCAGTGGTGAAGAGGATAAAAAAGAGAAGATTAATGTTGCATTAACCCACAATTTGTGCTGTTAACAAAATATTTTGATTGAATCACTGCAGACCAGCAGTTACATACAGTACTGTACTTTATTATGATCTTCAAATTCTGAGGAGGACAATTACATGGAAGTTATGATAAATGCTTAGATAGGTTAGGTTAATTTGATTCATTTATGAAAAATAAATCATAATGTAGCAGTATCTGGTATTTTGGGTATTTACCTGATGGAATGACACCAATTGGAACAAATGCCAGAGTATGACATCATTAACCTTCAACAATCAGAACAAAAGATGAGCAAATAGCAGAAATAAGTAAGATTCCGCTGACGGGTCAAATATACACAGCCAATATTCTATATAGGTAGACTACAGAGCTTAGTTTTAGTATTTTTTCCTTATTAGAACACCCTGACCACAGATTGGCTGACAAGTGGAATGCTCACTGGCAGCGTTCATAATCATGTCAACAACGCTGAAGAACAAAAAGGATGGCATTTGGACATAGCACACACGTGATTACTTTTTTGAAGAAAAAAATCCAAGGCACACAGATGTACGAAAATTGTACTTAATATGGGGCTTGCTCCAGGCAAGGAAATATACAAGCTGAGATCAAGATAAAATCTGAGGAAATATACTTTTTGCAACAGAGTAACTAACATTTGAAATAATCTGGCGGACTGGGCATTGAATACTGACTCAGTTTTGAGTTTTGAAAGAAACTTTGATAAAGTGTGGACCCACCAGGCACAAATGTTTGATATACAGCACAAATCAAATATAATAGCCTAGACCACCACCAAACCGGCCACACAAGTATAAGTGAAAGTTTAGAGCTGGAGTCACAGGCTCAATAGCCTTGTAGGGGTATCGAGATATTAATGTTGTCTAGCACTCAGGATGGAAGGAAACTCTAATGTGGTTTTCTTGTATAATATATAAGTTATATGAAGACAGTCTGGTGCTGGAGATGCCGTGTGGTGGGGAGCTGCTCAGTAGAAAACGTTCGGTGAGTAGCGTGTTGAAGGAGGTAGATGTGCAGGAGCTTCGTTAGAGAAGATGTTGCCTGTTGCTGGCCTCCTGGTTGAATAAATGTTAACAGCTAGGAGCATGCTGGAGGAGGTGTTGCTTGTTCAGGAAAATGGGCAGAATGAGAGTTGGTTGGTGAGGAAGCTCAGGGAAGGACATGCTCGCTGGCGGGAGCGAGGACCGCCAGGCAGGCAAGGAGAAGCGAGGGGCCGCCAGGCAGCGGCGGAGGAGGAGGTGTTGCTTGTTCAAGAAGATTGGTCAGAATGAATCTCAATGGAGAGACAGAGCTTATATACCCAGCAGCCGCTATGAGTCATGTTGGGAAAACCCAGAAAGTCGCCGGTGAATAGTTTCGTTGCTAGGCAACGGCACGTTGGAATGTGATAGCAGGTGGTGGCGGTGCTACGCAGTTTGTAGGGGAGACGTCCACTACAATACTCCCCCTTCCCTCCAGGCGGTGTAGGAGACTTGTTGTTTGTAGAGTTGCTTAGCACATGTGAGGCAGACCGGGCGGTGCATGCCTCATGTGAGACAACGGCGATGGCGTGATGAGCCGATCGCTGAAATACAACTGTCTAGATACACACTATCTGTGGGAGAAGGGAGAAAAAGGGTGTGTGGAGGCGATGAATGTTGTGCTTCCCTCACGACAGGTACAGGGTCGTCAGATGCGCCTGCTGGGGTGTGTGTGGGCCTGGGTCAGGAGCAGGGGCTGCGTCAGCAGAAGCGGATTAGGGCTCGTGACAGCAGCTGGGTCCACGACAGCAGCAGGGTGCAGGACATTAGCAGGGAGTACCTGAGGGAGAAAAGAGGGTGTGTGTGGGTCCGGATTCAGGAACAGAGGCCGCGTCAGGGGTTATTGCTGGGCCTGGGTCGGCGTCTGAGGCATGACGGGTGTGCTGGGGTCGTCAGAATGTGGTGCGTGAGGCAGGAAGAGGAGCCGGTGTCTGCTTGAAGACTGGGAGCATGATCAGTGTCTCCTCCATCCTGTGTGAGTGCTAATCTCCGGGAGTCACCATTGTAGGGGTTTCGAGATATTAATGTTGTCTAGCACTCAGGATGGAAGGAAACTCTAATGTGGTTTTCTTGTATAATATATAAGTTATATGAAGACAGTCTGGTGCTGGAGATGCCGTGTGGTGGGGAGCTGCTCAGTAGAAGACGTTCGGTGAGTAGCGTGTTGAAGGAGGTAGATGTGCAGGAGCTTCGTTAGAGAAGATGTTGCCTGTTGCTGGCCTCCTGGTTGAATAAATGTTAACAGCTAGGAGCTTGCTGGAGGAGGTGTTGCTTGTTCAGGAAAATGGGCAGAATGAGAGTTGGTTGGTGAGGAAGCTCAGGGAAGGACATGCTCGCTGGCGGGAGCAAGGACCGCCAGGCAGGCAAGGAGAAGCGAGGGGCCGCCAGGCAGCGGCGGAGGAGGAGGTGTTGCTTGTTCAAGAAGATTGGTCAGAATGAATCTCAATGGAGAGACAGAGCTTATATACCCAGCAGCCGCTATGAGCCATGTTGGGAAAACCCAGAAAGTCGCCGGTGAATAGTTTCGTTGCTAGGCAACGGCACGTTGGAATGTGATAGCAGGTGGTGGCGGTGCTACGCAGTTTGTAGGGGAGACGTCCACTACAGCCTCTTCCAGAAGTCATATGTGAGTATCTGTGAGTAAAAGGAAGTTCAATATAATGTTAGTCGAAAATGGGTAGTTTAGGTGCGCAGGAACCGTGAAGTCTTAAAACTATTAAAATTATTTTTTCTTCTATTTCCATCAATATTTGTATATTATTTAACAAACTTAGATAATAGTTAAATACAGAGTTTTTGTTGATTTTGGGGGGATTCTGTCGCTTTCTGTTTTGTTATACGGCAGTTTTAATGTAATCTAATCTTTTGTTCTTCAAAAATTATCACGAAACTAGTAGAAGTAAACTAAGCCAAATAAAAAAATTATCTAGACTCTACTAGAGGGACAAGAATTTTACTTAACATTTTCTTCGAAGAAAACGAGAAGAATGAAGGGAAACTTGACTGATACTGTACATATCGTGCAATGTCGCTGATTGTCTGCTTACAAGGTGTTTGGACAATCGTAACTCGTAAGTATGTGGGGTTTTTGAGATGTTTGGGTTCACACTCAGGATGGGATGGAGAAAGGAAACTCACAATGTGCTCTCTGTATACATGTTGTATTGGATGTACAATGCAGCTTGGTGCTGGGAAGGCAGCATGGTTACAAGCGTGATGTAGAGAGAGCTGGTTGGTGAGGATGCTCAGAGGAGAACCAGCTTGTGGGTCGCCATGCTCGCCGGCGGGAGAGAGGACCGCCAGGCAGGCGGAGGAGGAGGTGTTGCTGGCTGGTTGGTGTAGGTAGAAAGAGACAGGTCACCACGAGGTCAGGTCTTAAATAGCGGGGGTTGGCGTGGCTTAGTAGTTGACCCCCGCTCCGTGGGCGGCGCTGGTTGACCTAGACCACCAGGCATACACTGGGGAATTCGTGGGGTCGGCTGCGCAGCGACAAACAGCGTTTGTAGGGGAGAAATCCACTACAAGTACATAGGCAGTTAGTTATTCAGTAAAATCGTCAGACTATTTTATATTTTTCAAGTATGTTAGACAGTGCATTAGTAAACAGTAAACTATGTCGGTTTATCCAAGGATAGCTCAAGAAAGCCATTAAAATGTGTTGGGCTTTCAATAAATTCATCAATGCTGTTATTTGAGTTTGACAAATTCATTTGTCGGGTTACTTAAAAGTAACCCAATGTTCAGGATTCCTCTTCGGACTTGCTGCACCGATTGTTAAAACAAAAAGTGGCCGAAACGTGATTACAATGTTACAGACCCGAGTATCGTAAGTGCTATAATATTCAATGGTTGGTAACTTGTCTTAAACTCCATTTTATCATATACACAGATATATGGAGCTAATGGCTAACGTCAGCATTTGAGTAGTTGCTCAGCGTTCATCAATGGGAGATTCGATTAATGCAAACCTATCTTTCTCTCAACTGGCCGACATTGCCAACGCCATCTGTTGAACGATTGCCGAATTTAATTTGCCAGTTTCATATTATTAGAAGGTGTTTTACAATTTCCCTTTTCTTTTTCTCTTGGTATAACTCAGTTCTTCGTCTCTAGCCAAAAACTATATAGTCTTTGGTCTCTAGTCTTGGCCAGTGGCTGAAACTCTCTTGCCTGATTGGCTGAACACCCCAGGCCCAGAAGCTGCAGCAGGTGTTGAGTGACAATCTGCCCGTGGTGTGCTTACCTAGTCCTATACCCTGTACATTGATCCAACTTCCAACGTTCTAAGAAGAAACTTTGAGGGATGAAAACAGAAAATCCAGGTAATTGTTCACTTTTACATGATATTTTTTGTTGAAACAAAAGTATGGAATGAATGGATTGTAAGGTACTTGATAAAATGTACAGTATTTAAAATTAACAGACGGCGTTGGAATGGAAAATAAGATTTTTAATTTACACTGGAAACACAAAGTGGTAAAGTTTTAGTGCCGGTCATCCAGTGAATCTTAGGAATTTAACTATTGGAATCGATAGTTCAGACAAATCTAAGATATGTTTTTTTTTCTGTGACGTTTCCCTCGCAAATGACTTAACAGAAGTGTCTTACAATTGTTTAAGCTACTGATCCCAATAGTCTAAACTCCTAAGATTCTCCAGATGACCAAAACTAAAATATTAGCCAAAGTTTTGTCTTTTGTCCGACTTCAGCACCTGGGTGAACTGACAAAGATCACTGAACAATTGAAAATTTTAGCAGGAAAGAACCATTGAGCAATATATAATTAAACCACGAAAGTGCATAAGCCATGGCTTGCTGTTCCCCAAATATTTTTTTCTTAAATTCTAACATTAAATTCATAAGTCCCCTTCACTTTCTCGTTTACAGGGGCTTGCTCGGTTTTATGAAATGTGGCGAAGCCGTTTGGTTTATATTTTATAGTAAAAATAGTGGTCATTTTTTAGTTTCGACCAACCACGACTCTCGAGTTGAGCAATGTGTTTTTCCTCTGATATAGACAATTTTCTATGACGTTTCCGTCGCAAATGACCTAAAATTACCTAATCTAACTTCCAACCAGGGGGGCCCCGCCCTCTGGATCCCAGGTATATTTAAGTCATTTGCGAGGGCAACGTCATAGGAGAAAGTTATTAAAATTGTCTAAACCATCGGAAAAACACATTGATCAACTCGAGAACCATGGTTGGTCGAAACCACAAATTGACCAAACTAGCTAATTGGACAACTCGATAGTAACCATTCTAAGGATTCAAAATAACCAGAACCCCCCAAATCACTTGCTTGCATGTTTATAGTTTGAATATAGTGCACCAAATAGTGCGTGATTAGCTCTAGTAGACGGCCGCGAGGCGAGGTGGTTGTAGCTGTTTTGGCATCGTTAATTATTTTAATTGAGTTAGGGAATTCTTCTAAGTGGCTGTGTTTGATGTAAACACTCCTTGCTGTTTTTCATTTATTATCTAAGCAGCTATATACACATATGTATAATCTGAGAGAATAAATTATGAATTCTCTCCAGGGAAGTGTTGTAAATAATACCGAGACAACATTTGAGTTAAATGTCTGACTTCCCTGTCCAAGTAAACTGTCTTCTCTGGTGAATAAGTTGGTGTTATTCTTTTGGGTGATTATTTATATAAAGCAAAGGTGATGAGACAAAATTCATACTGTTAATGATAAATTTGGACCTAGCTTGGACTGTCATGTGTAATAGCCAACTATTTGACATCAGTGTGGGGGAGGGGGTTCAATGAGAGTTCATGCAATGGGGACTACCCAATTACGGCCAAACAGATGTGTTGTATGTATGATTCACCCAACTGTTTCAGAAACTAATTGTTCACTGCAACTTTTAACTGAATGGTATCAGGGCTGCATATTATTAATTTCAAAGGCTCAAAGAGTAACTAGGAAATATTTGAGTGAGGGAACTGTAACTATATGAAACCAAAGGTAACATTTGAAAATACGGCCAATTTATGATAGTAGCCAGGTTTCGATTTTCCATAAATACGTTTTTCAGTTAAAAACTATCTGACACTTTTCTAATGGCATTTCCGTTGGAAATTTGTTTTTCGAGGGGTAATTGTTGACGACTGACCTGTGGCCGATTTTTCATGGAAAACGTTAATAAAAACGCCGCAATTTGCTTTATAGTAGACAGTCGTAGTTTGTGCAGATGTGTTAAAAAGTGGTTATTTCTAAATTAAACCTAACCTAACCTTAGTTGATATGAAAAACAAGCCGCAGAAGTATTGTTAGAAAACCTCCCCAACCTAACCAAACCTACCTAACCTTACCCAACTTCCTAGCCCCCCGTATTTTAAACAAAACTTACAGATATGGTGTAATATTTTTTTGTGGACGTGAGAGCAGCCGTTTGTACCTAACGATTCTTTAAGCATACTGTACACTGAGCATCAGCGTAGATCAAGCCCAGGCGGTAGTGTTTTGAAATACGTAAATACTCTGTATGATTGGTTGTTTACATGTACATCTGGGATGAGATATCAGCTGCGCATTACCGCCGAAAGACAGTAGTTCGTGCCTAGGCACCAAACGCAGCATTTGCACAAGAAATGATTATCATATCAGAACTCACTGATGAAAATAAAGTATGAAAGTAAAACAAATAACTCATCTGCGGGTCAGTCATCAATTCTCTTTAGTTGTCTATTATCTCTTTGTTTGGGCGCACAAACGTACGTACATGTAGGTATCTCACACTCAGGAATGAGGTAGGATAGAAACTCACGATGCGCTTTCTGTGTATATATTGTTGTACAACGCAGTACTTAGGAGTAACTAGGTGAGGAGAAACTTGCTCAGAGGTCCTGTAGGGCGAGGAGGTTTCTGAGGAAGCTGAGTGGTGAGGAGCTGTGAGAGATGTTGCTGGTCCAGTAGCCGAGTGTACTGTAGAATGCTCTCCCGGTACGGTACGGAGTCTTTAGTTATGAGGTGAAAGAAGATTATTAGGGGTTGAAGGAAAAGTGGTGAAACTGAAATACAGTAGGAGTAGAAAGAATCTGGGCTCAACCAGATCGCTTCATCTTTCCTATTGGTGTTTTATCTTTGTTCTGCTCCCTTGGGTCGTCAGACCTTTGTATTAATATTGGTTTATTTATATAATGCTGCTTATTATTATTATTTTTTATTATTGTTAGAGTCAGTGAGCCCGCCCAGGTCCTTGTGTAACTGGGAGGGTAGTCACATATATATAAATATATATTTTTTGCTGAGGTGTTAGTTAAGTGTTAGTTGTGTTAGTCTAAAGGTACACTGTATGGAGAGGCCTGCCAGGTTCTTAATGGAGCTGGTAGGTCACTCATCTTTTATTTTCTCTATTAATGTTTTATGTGTATATTGGGGCAGGAGGTGGCTCAATTACTTCTTCCTGGCTGATGTAGCTGGGAGGGTAATCACATTATTATTATTCCCCTCCGATGGGTTAGCCGTTTTTTTTTTTTTTTACAAGATGTTAGTTAAATGTTAGTTGTTAGTCTAAAGGTACACTGCATGGAGAGGCCTGCCAGGTTCTTAGTGGAGCTGGTAGGTCACTCATCTTTTATTCTCTCTATTAATGTTTTATGTGTATATTGGGGCAGGAGATGGTTCAATTACTTTCTTCCTGGCTGATTTAAACCAACTGTGTTTTTGGAATTCTTCGTTGTCTATATTTATCCAGTTTTGATATGTTTGTGTTAAGTTCAGTCAATTTTTTCCAAATATTTGCAGCTTTGTTGTGTATATCTACATTGATTGCTAAGAGGTTTGTTCTCTTGTGTAGCTGTTCATTATTGATGTGGTCTGTATATTTTATGTTATATATAAATCTGAGGGCTATATTTTGTACTGTTTGTAACCTTTTAATGCTCGTTTTACTAAGTGTTCAATGGGATGGGTGGGTAGTCCATAATTGATTTGACAAGGGCAATATAAATCTTTTTGTTATTAGTGCCAAGGTTCTTAAAGCGTTTTATTTTTGATAATCTTATTCTTGCCTGTCGTTCTTTATCTTTTAAGTATGTTATATATCCTCTTTTTGTTAGTTTTAGTCCAAGCATCCTCCCTTCAGTGTCGTATGGGTATAGTTCCTGGTCGACTATTACTGGACTTGTTTTGCGATACGATACGAAGTCTTTAGTTAAGAGGTGAAAGAAGATTATTAGGAGTTGAAGGAAAAGTGGTGAAACTGAAATACAGTAGGAGTAGAAAGAATCTGGGCTCAACCAGATCGCTTCATCTTTCTTATTGGTGTTTTGTCTTTGTTCTGCTCCCTTGGGTCGTCAGACCTTTGTATTAATATTGGTTTATTTATATAATGCTGCTTATTATTATTATTTGTTATTGTTGGAGTTAATTGACCCATACAGGTCCTTATTGTAGCTGGAGTAGTCTATTTTTTTTTTTTTTTTTTTTTTTTTTTTTTTTGGGGTGTTAAGTGTTAGTTGTGTTGAGTCTAAAGTGCACCAGCATGGAGGCCTACGAGTTCTTAGTGGGACGGTTGGTCACTCATCTTTATTCCTCTAGTAATGTTTATACTTAAGTAATGACATGTTGGGCAGAGTGGTTCAATTACTTCTTCTGTTGTGATATGGCTGGAGAATAATCATTGTATTATTTTTTTTTTTTTTTTTTTTTTTTTGTTAGTAGGCCTTACAGGTCCTTGTGGCAGGAGGTGATCTGACCTTTTTTTTTTTTTTTTTTTTTACTAAGATGTTAGTTAAATGTTAAATGTTAAATGTTAAATGTTAAATATTAGTTATGTTAGTCTAAAGGTACACTGTATGGAGAGGCCTGCCAGGTTCTTGTGGAGCTGGTAGGTCACTCTCATCTTTTATTCTCTCTATTAATGTTTTATATGTATATTGGGGCAGGAGATGGTTCAATTACTTTCTTCCTGGCTGATTTAAACCAACTGTGTTCTTGGAATTCTTCGTTGTCTATATTATTTATCCAATTTTGATATGTTTCTGTGTTAAGTTCAGTCACTTTTTTCCAAATATTTGCAGCTTTGTTGTGTATTTCTACATTGATTGCTAGGAGGTTTGCTCTCTTGTGTAGCTGTTCATTATTGATGTGGTCTGTATATTTTATGTTATATATAAATCTGAGGGCTATATTTTGTACTGTTTGTAACCTTCTAATGCACGTTTTACTAAGGGTGTTCAATGGGATGGGTGGGTAGTCCATAATTGATTTAACAAGGGCAATATAAATCTTTCTTTTGTTATTAATGCTAAGGTTCTTAAAGCGTTTTATTTTTGATAATCTTATTCTTGCCTGTCGTTCTTTATCTTT